TATATAGCTAAATTTCAGTCTTGTAAGTGGTGTCAGATAAATTAGATTCTAGAAATTTCTAAAGGAGCGTGTGTACTATAATCAGTGATTTATTATCAATCAACTTTCATTTCGATAACCACGTAATATGCGAATTTTATTGTCAATTGTCCATTTTTATGCATTATCGCATTAATATTTGAATGCCAAACGTAAGGACTCCTTAAAGTTGATTGATAATTAATCACTGATTATAGTACACACGCGCCTTTGGAAATTTCTAGAATCTAATTTATCTGACACCACTTACAAGACTGAAATTTAGCTATATACAAGCGGGGTTGACGTATATGAGATTGGGAACTTTTTTATGCGAACGCAGCTGATCAGCGCCATCTCACATTAGTTCGAATTAGATCGAAAAACTGAATTTAATTCTGTAGCATTGAAATGAAAAAGAGAAAAAACAACAACAATAGCACGGCCACACAGAGCTGTACATCTATGCGTGCTGATGCATACATACACATATACGCTTTCTTGACTCTTTCATTCCATTGTTATACGTATCTCACTGGTCAACAGATCTATGTAGCCATGTTACTGTTGTTGTTTTTTTCTCTTTTTCGATTCAATTCATTGTAACTAAATTGAGTTCAACTATGGAATACAAGATGGCACAGATGAGGGGAATTCGCATTTTGTCTCTTCATAGGCTTAGCCGGTTGGCTATATATAAGAAGTGTGATTTTGTTTATCACAATTACGGAATTGATGGCAAAAACAATGATAGTGACAAAATATTTGTATAAGATTTGTTTTAAATGTTGATCGTCGAGAGCATATAACACCTCACAGAAATTCATTAAATTTGATGAAATTATATGATCGACGCATGCTACATATCGCAAACATGATTTATGAAATAATTAATAATGATGCACCACCATAGCTTCTGGAGTTGGCGATCCAAGGGGGGGGGGGGGGGTTAATTTCAAAATTTTCCAAAAATCTAAAGGGGTAACTTTTTCGATTTGGTCTCGCACAAATTCTAAAATGCATTTTTGAATTGTTCCTAGGGGGGGAGGGGGTGTCTCAGAGCATTTGCCTCAAAAAACCCTAGCAAATTGAAAGATTTTTCTCTTTGCCCAAAAACCCGAGGAAAATTGAATATTTTCTCCCGTTTTAGAGTGAGTGAAGAGCTAAAAAAAAAAGAACTTCACTTTTTTCGCCAAAATCCATAGCAAATCGAACGAATATTTTTTCTCGATTTGTAAAGGGGTAGTTCTCAAATCTCTTCTCAGGGGGGGGTTAATCCAACCCCTCGGACCCCTGCTCAGAAGCTATGTGCACCACCATATCTTGATAATTTAATCAACATCAATACAAATAATACTCGCTCAGAAAATAAATTAATTGTTAAAAAACCCAATACTAATTTCCAAAAAACATCATTTTTTATAAGTGGACCAATAACTTGGAATAAAATTTCTGAAGAAACACGCTCTATTGAATCTCATGATCTCTTTAAATCAAAATATGCAGCGGAAATATATAAATGTTATGAGCAATTGATTTAGTATTTATTTTATTTTAGTAATATCATAAAATATCAGAATTTATTCAATTAATTATTTTAGGGATTGATAAGAAAACATCAGAAGCATTAAATATATGCGAATCAATCGTTTTAAGACATTTATAATGAGGTAAGACACAAGAAATTTTGTGCCACACCAGTTGAATCCAAAACTAGTTGTAAGACCTTTTTCCAAAGCATGGCAGTAGTGACAGTTGGGCAACGCAGCATTGAATAATGGCACAAATTTGTGCTCAACAATGGCACAAATTTGTACCAGCAACCAATAGGGTTGCTATAGTTCATCTGGCAACCGATGCGAGCGCGTCGGTCATTTTTTGTCACTGCCGTGCTTTGCCTTTTTCACATTTTGGAACAATGTTCCAAAAATAGGAGAGAAAGGAATTTTTGTATCGTATTGTAACTGGAAGTGAAGAAGGCATCTGCTACGATAGCCCCAGGCATAAAAATAAGGGTTCAATCCCACACAATCATCAAAATCGATAGCATAGCAGGATTTTGATGATTTCTCGGTAATGCTCATTATTTGGTGAGATTAAAGTGGTGTGGTGTATAATGAGCTGCTGAATTCGGATGAAACTGTCACGGGGGATCGGTATCGACTTCAACCAATACGTTTGAGCAGATTACTGAGAGAAAAATTGAGAAAAACTGCGACAAGAAATAGTCGAAGGATTTATCAAAATTTGAAATATTTCAAACATCGCAAAAAAAAGATAGGGGACTTTGGTCGGGGTGAGCTTGATCAACCCGCGTACTCTCCAGACCTTGCCCCTTCTGACTACCACTTGTTTCGATCAATGCAAATGGGCTTGTCTGAGATATCGTTTCGAAATTCTGAAGGAGTGCGAAAATGGGTCGATCAATGGATAGCTGGAAAAGATGAGGAATTCTTTCGACGCGGAATCGACAAGCTGCCAAGAAGATGGGCCGAAGTCATAGCTAACAATGGGCAGTACATTGGTTAATGTACTCATTCATTTAGTTTTGGAATAAATGTATCTTTGAACACTAAAATCCTTTAAAATTAATGCACACACTCAATATTATCTTTAAGAAAATGTGATTGGCCTTTTGGCAGCAAGTGTATTTAATCATTGCACGTGTAAATTTTACACAGATTTACAGAATACACCATATACTAATAAATAATGATAATATAATTTCTCAAAAATAAAACCTTCATAAAAACAAACGAAATTTGACGTTGGTCAAGATTGATAATTGCTAATTAGTCAAACCAGTAACATATAATAACTGATAATAAGAATAACTAATTAGTTAAGGATGTTAGTTAAAGCTTTCACAGCTATCAAAATTAACAATTTGTCGGACTGTGTTCACGAGACATGCTAAATGCACAATTTCTTGTGAAATTGCATGACATAACTACTTGAGATAGAGAGAAGATTGTCATATTAATTGCAGAAACACCTCAATTGTTTGAGCAAAGTCCCGAATGAATTATTTATCATCATATTCATAAAAGAATGATGAATGACTCATTGGATTCAATTGTTGAATGAATTTACGATTATATATTTCCTTTTTTTTAAATTTTAGCAATCATATCCTTTTAAATTTAAATCGAAAGTTGTTATATTCACTAATTTATCGTCGATTAAATCCAGTCATAAAGATATGAAATTTTGGCAAAACCATCTGGACTTCCCGAAGCGCATCTAAATAAAAAATAATGCATTTAATAAATAAAACAATTGAAGTATCGAGATAAGAACTTACGGTAAATCAACCCAATTTGCCAAACCAAGTAGTTCATCGAATCTGCACTACCACTGTCTCCCTATGTTAGATAAAATGATTATAAGTACTCTCAACACCACAAGAACTAAGTGGCTCTATGCTATTGCGGTATTTGGGTTTGCACATATTTTTAGAGCCAAATGTTCACAGCACCAACACAGAGCTACTTAGAAAAACATATTTCACTTATCTTTTACGTATTATTCATCTTGAGCAAGGGCAGTTAAATTGATCGTCTGAAGAAATTGTGGAAGTTCATCCATTCATCGATTGTTTTCAAAAATTCATATACTTAGTAGAAGAAAATTATACGAGACTTCAAACGGACACTCACAGCCAATCGTCCTCAGCCGAATGCTTGCACTTCTGCATATTCCACTAATTTTGGAGAAGTTTATATAGAAAAAAGAATGCACGTGATCTTAAATCGAATTTTGTGCTTACCATTTAGAATAGTGCTGCCTGATATTGAATTCAGCACACACTTTTGTGCTTGGTTAACGTTCAATTTAAAAGTCTGAATAGATTTTTCCATTCTGTTGAGCCTTTTATAGCTCCAATATTTTAAAGTGACTTATGGTCAGATAAAATGGACTTTGAAAAAGGGTGGTAATAAAACCGGTTTACATACCCAATGAGCCATTTTCACTAATCTGCATGCCTACATCTGATGCATATCGTATGCATCGAATGTATGCATGTATATGAACAGATGCATATTCTATGCATCGCAAATCGCCATTAAAAAGAGATAGTGTGATCAGTATGCATACTACTGTATGCATAATATATGCATAATATTAGTACAATTGGACCATTACATTGGATGCGTATTAGGTGCATAAAATTGCATTACAACGGCGCAATTATAATTCCCTTTGAAAAATGTCTACCGATATGTAATTTTATCAGTGATTTATTACTAATCACTTTTCATTTTGAATTTTTGATAAGCGTAAGGTTTTAATTCGATGGTCATTCATCATCTCGGTACCGTATGTATATCACACCATTATTTGAATGGCAGATAGAGACCGGTCTCAAAACCGCTTGAGATATAGAGAAGACAGAACAGGTCCCAGGAAGTCATTCTGATCCAAATTAGACAATTTGGCGCACTTATGGGTACAATATAAATTATAATAATAAGATAAACAAGGTTTTACTGTAATTTAACCCAATCTGCTATACCAACATGTTCATCGCCAAGCACAAGTGCACTACCACTGTCTCCCTTTATTTTGGTGAAAAGATTATTAAATATTCTCATTCAATGTGTTCAAAAAAAAAAACTACTTACATGACAAACGCCCACCTATTATAAAAAACATTTTCAAGATCCTTAGTAGACGGTCACATATATTTTGTTTCAAATACTTACAATTGAATATCCCCACTCTCAGAAAACTCGGATGTTAAAATTCAAAGTAATCAGAGCAAAATGCCATTTTAACATGGGGGTATTTTTTCACATGGTAAAATGCCATTTTACGTGCAACACATATCTTTGAAATTGTAACATTTTAATATGAAGATGCGTCACTACAATAGTTATTTGTCTCATATTCGTTCTCGAGAATTAATTTATTGATTAGCAATCGCCGATTTCATCGCTGAAAAATCTACATCTGGTCAACTCTTATTGTAAAATTATATAACAAAACCATTTGAGATAAAGAGAAGACAAAACAGGTTTTTACCAGGAAGTTATTCTTATCAAAATTAGACATTTTGGCACACTTATGTGTACAATATAATGAAATAAGATAAAGAGTGTTATTGTTTTTTTGAACAAATAAAATTAGGAATTTTCACTCAAGTCGCTTATAATTTCTTATTATTTATGTGGAATTTTTCGCGTAAATCCACTCGAAAGCGAGTTTATATTTTATTGTGAATTTATTCTTGTTTTGTCCTCGTGAGGTAGATATAATTTCGGAATACAATCAATTTATATTAAAAGCATATGCTGTACTCGAATTTTTTTACGGTATTGTAAAAAGCGGTGTGAAAAAAGATATGAGCAGACATAATCCGACGTATAGCCCATATTTTTAGTACATTCATTGCAAACAATCACAAAGTGATAATATGCCTTCACTGCCCTGTATTGGCTTATTTCAATTGAGCGAGAAGAATTGTATAAAACTGATAATGAAATAAGGCATCTAATAATACTATAACTGGAGTTTTTAAAATCATCCAATGAGATAAACAACAACAGTATAGTATCATTCTATTATTTATTGGTTTTAGATCATTTATTTTGATTCGTTATCTTTTAAAACATGAATTCATTTTTTGCAAAAAGTTTTATTTTTAATTTCAATCAACTTTAAATCGAAAGTTATGGTGTTCATTGATTGATCTTCGATTGGATCCAGTCATAAAGATATGAAACTCTGGCAAACCCATCCGAACCACCCGAAGCGCATCTTTAAAATAATTCATTTTTTGTAAAAAATTCGAACGAATAATTGGAATTGATAAACACTTACGGATATTTAACCCAATTTGCTATACCAACAAGTTCATCGCCAAGCACAAGTGCACTACCACTGTCTCCCTTTATTTTAGTGAAAAGATTATTAAATATTCTCATTCAATGGGTTCAAAAAAAAACTACTTACATGACAAACGCCTTCACCTTTCTTGGTGAATGTACACAAATGACTATCGTGAACATCCACAATACCGGCCAAGTCTTTTTTGCATTCAGCATGTGAAATAGTGGTCAATCTGATTGTCTGAAGATATTGAGGACTTGGTCCATCTGCCTATTATAGAAATCGTTTTCAAGATCCTCAGTAGACGGACACATATACTTTGTTTCAAACGAACTTACGATTAATCGTCCCCATCCAAACGCTTGAACCTCCGCACCTTTTTCCACATAATTTGACGTAATTTTAATGGGTTGGACTTTTTCATTAAACTCAATTTTGTCTACTCTTATTAGGCCAATGTCATGGTCAAAACGGCCTGGTTTATGATACATTTCATGCTGTATAATTTCGAGAGGTTTAAAACTAATTCCACCCGATTTTACGTCATTTGTTCCAACCAATATAGAATTAAAATAACTGAAAAGGCAAAATTCAAATGATTCTATTGTCAAAATCACAAGTAAGTTATTACTAATTGAGGCAGTGAGCTGCTGTAAGGATCCAATGATCTGATATGATTACACATCCACAAAAATGTCGTCCGTACTCTTGCATTGAACATTGATACGGAGCTTGTCCATCTGTTGCGTTTGTTCCGCCAACAACAAAAAAATCCGGGTATCCAACTAAATCAAAGAAAATTTATTTAGAAAAATAGTTGCCTGTTGTTTCATGATTTTTCACTTACCGCTACCACTGGGAATTGATCCGCCTGATATTGAATTCAGAATACAAAATAAAATAATCACTTTTAACTTCATATTTGTGCTTTAATTACGTTCAAATCACAAGTCCAAATGTTTTTCTGTCTAAGTGTCGAGCTTCTTATAGTAAAAATCACACACAGATAACATAGATTCCAAAATTATCAAATTTTTTGATGAAATGTGCCATGTCAATCAACTACTTATCATTAGATAAGCATAATTTTTGAAAATGGTCAGTCAATTAGTTTATCATATTAGCCGTTGTTACAATATGACAGTATTATTAACCTACTTCAATATATAAGATAAACTCTTATTACTATACTTAAGTGAAATAAAGCCTTTCATGCTTATTGTCGATTTTTGACTGAAATGTGTAATGTTATCAGTGATGTACTATTAAGCACCAATCATTTGATAAGTGTAATAATAAATAATTTCATAAGTGGGTATCTTAGAAATTTGGACGACACGTGGATAATTTTAATCGAGAACATGCATGATCATGTCATGATTTATTGATTTGCTACATAAAAATCTACTTAAGCCGAAAATTTAGTCGATGTGTTAGTTTTATTTATTATAAATGATTGATGATAATTGAATTAGTTTATGATTTAACTGCGATTCTCCAATTTGGTATTCGTTTGGAATAAACCGTCATTCGACATTTCCCCCTTTGCTAAGCGAAATTAATCCGATATACGGCGCTGATGTAAATGAAGAGCTTATATATTGTCAAGCCAAAAAATGTATTATTGTGGAATGACATAGAGTGACATTTACATCAGCGCCGTATATCGGATTAATTTCGCTTAGCAAAGGGGGAAATGTCGTACTCGCTCCTTTATAAGTGTCCTTTTATCCTACTATTTAGTATTTTATAGAACTGTGTATAAGGCAATTTTGGTAATTTTCTACTTAAATTGAAATTATTTCAGAATTCAATATCGCTTGTCTTATTTCAACAGGTTATACATGAAGTTAAGATTATGATTAAAGACTACCATATATCAGAAGAAAAGAGTTTTATAGGTTTCCTTTTATGCATCTCTTTAGTATTTTCTACGCATAGCATTATTTTGGTATTTTCCTACTGAAATTGAAATTATTTCAGAATTTAATATCGCTTGTGTTATTTCAGCAGGGTGTACATGAACTTGCGAGTATTATTGGATTGGTTATATATTTCGTTCTTTGTTTTACAAGTAATGTTTAATCAGACAATATATTGAACTGACCAGTTAGTTGAGCTGACAATACGTTAGCCAGCCAAATGGGCTAAAACAATAGAAGTGATTCATCATTATAACAATAACTTTTATAATCTTTCAATTTCAGCAATACCATTGTCATTGAGTAAATTTTACCCCGATTCTTGCTTTCATAACTCTTGGTTTAACAAATTGTATCATGCTACGGTGTGGATATTATGCGAAATGTGTTCCTATTCAATAATTATTTGTTTATGGATTGAAGGTGTGAAATTAAACCGTAAAGACTACATATTACAACCCATGTTGCTCATTTCAGCCACCACAATCGCTATTTTAAGTAGTTTGAATCACATTCTATTAATTCAACATCACATTTTTAAGGTACACCATATTATTTACTTATTCACATTTTATTCATTATTTATTTCATTATTCTTTTTATTTCTAGTCGAACATTAATGTGTACATTTATCTGGTTAAATTAATGCGTTTTGGTCTATATATGACATGGATTAATCTTATTGCGATAAACATTTATCCGGGTCTCATGATATTCGAATTGGTCCAAATCGGTTTTAGTATGTGATTCAGCTATCAAATATCTCTCAAATTTTTTCAATATTATTTTTCTTATTTGTTTTAAATAGTGAGACTTTATACGTGTTTCTTAGTTACTTACATTTCCGAAACGAGCGCATCTCAAAGTGAAACTGAACTTGTAATCGTTTATGCTACATTCTCAAGCATACCATGGTATATTGCTTTCATAAAGGGAATTTTTTTTTCTTATTGGCTGTTACCGCCAAAACCTGACCCAGAACTTGAATCGACACTTTTGTATGTATATGGATTTTTATGGTTTTGTTTTGGTAAGTACTGCGATCAGTAGTGTAGACAAATATTTTTTCTGGAAATTTTCAAAATATTTATTTTAGTTTTTCTTTTCATAGTGCGCTTCTCTTATATGAATAATACAGTAAGGCATATTGAAGACATTCTCGAAGACTTCGAGGACGAATTTACGCTTGAGGATTTTATGGAATATTTTCAAATAGACGAAGCTTATTGTAAACATTCAAAGTATATTCAATTGTAGTCGCTTCAGAAACGGTAAACATTATTGACACCGAAAATGATATGAACAATTTATGCGCATTTTTGTAATTTAAATTTATGTTTTTTTATTAGCGAATTTCATCGTATATTTGTCGTGAGGTGATCAGTGTTGAAGACGTAAAGTGTACATGAACAATTCCATTTATTTCGGAAAATGGTATATTTTGCTCTCGATGGCTTCAGAAATTATCTCTATGTTATGCTAACAAAAAAATACAAAATGATGGAATCTGTATTTGTTTCGGTTTAAATAGGAATTTTATTTGTAAACATTTTAAAATCATAATAAATTGAACATAATGCTGCGTTAAATGAGCATAACCATACGAATATATGGGTAAATAAACGGGTTCTCTTCAGTTAAAAGCAAAAACGTTGTTAATATGATGATGCGTGCTTGAAACCAGTGATTCAGTCAAATTATTTGGATCAATACTCAACAAATTTTATAACATGAAAAATTAGCTGCTTAATTGATCTGGAAAGAACATACCGAAATTATGCCCAAACTGTCACACTGCTAGCGCCACGACGGATTACAATGTAATCTACACTAAGTTGCCGCCAAATAGTGAAAAGACTTTTGCTCAGTTGCAACCAACGGACTAGAGCTCCATAGTTGTCCGTAGTGGCGCTAGCAGTGCTACAGTTTTGCATTTTATACAGTCTCTTATGGGGTATAATTTCGGTGTGGGAAAGAACTATCTATGGCGTGACAATATTGTTCGGTTCGTTTTTCAACGATTCAGTTAACTCTTCGAATCTGGTCATATAGTCAACACTTGTTTCGCTGATCGTTGACATGCTGCTACTTTCAATCTGCACGAAAGTGGATGAGATAATTTTATTTTCACATTTTACTCAAAATTAATGATTTAAATGATAACTTACACATCGAGGCGAGCGTCCCCTTTCACAGTTCGAATCCAAATGTCCCAGAAAACTGCTCAATGAAAAGTCGTTCATGTTTTCTTCAAACCATTTTGTGTCCGAAGGAACCGGAGATTCACGCAGTATTCTCATCGGGCTTATTGGTGGCTGACTGTCAACTCCATCGGAATAAACTGCAAAAAAGATACATTTTACTAAACGGTTTCTATCGAAATAATGATCACTTTGTGTGAATCGGTGTGAATATAGCTTACAATCGTCCACTGAATGAGCCATTGGAATGGGTGATGGTAGCGATATTTCCATGAGACTTTGAATGCCTGGATCTTCGTTTAGCCTTTGTCTGATGCGGTTATTCTCTTCCTCGTCACTGTCCACTTCTTCCACTTGATCGGCGTCAGATGCTGAATATTCCGGCTTATTGGTGCCAGAATCGATTATATCACAGGTTTCAATTCCGCTATCACATTTCTGGTGTTCGCTAAGGTCTGTTGTGTTGTTGTCGTCGGCATTAATTGTTGAACTATTGCTTGAGTTTGTATCAATTGATCGTATGTATGGGTTGGCACTAGCGTCTTCTGTTAGGTGATTCATTCTGCTTAAGTTTTCTTCGGTTAAAATTGATTTATATTCGAGTGACGACGACGATGATGGGGAAGATGATGATGATGATGACGTCGATGATTTGATCACTGAACTTTCAATTGAATAGGTAATTGGATCAGGCGCTGCCAACATTCCATACGGTTGTGAAATTCCCGGTTGCAGTGGTAGAATACGTTGAACTACAACTTGTTTTGCAGCTCGGTTATTTCGACCTTTCATCCAACGGTTTTGTTTGCTGCGCGATGACTGAAAAAGTTCGAATTCAATTTGGATTTTTTAATAAATTATTGAATTTTTCAAGAAAATTGAATCAAAATACTCACATTCATGTTAATACGATATTGTTCAAAATGGCTTGAGCGCGTCGGTAAAACTGGTTGTCGAAACAGCGCACTGTCGTTATGCGACGGTTGATATGTTTTATTCGAAATAAAACTACGAGGCAACACTTCATCTTTTTGCTAATCAAAATGAAAGTTCGAAAGAATTTCTCAATAAAAATTTTCGTTTCAAATCAAATCAAGACGGTAATTTTACCTTCATTTTATTCATTCCGCGATCACAATAATGACCGCATGCACAGCTTGTTTTCCGTTTGGTTTTTTCCATCATACCAGCTAATAGAAGCAACTGTTTCAATTTATTGCTCAACGAATTCTTGGGCTTGGCATCGATGGCAATCGGTTTCGTATCAGCGATCTCATTATTATTTGTGGCGCTTAAAGTGCCGGTCATCACATTTTCCGATTTAATATCATCATCGGACACCTCTTTTTCTTTTCCATCGAATGCATCTGTTTTGTGTGGCATTTTCATGGGTTCCGTTTTAATGTCAACCTGTTGAGCCGTTGAAATCCACTTGTACTCTAATCGAACTTTTGAATCTTGTCCAAACATAATATACAAATCGCCAATAGTCATATCGCCGACATTAAAAATGGTCCAACCTTTGCGAATTTTTTGTACAACCTCTTCGTTAATCAATGGCCGAAACGATTCACGATTTGTTGTTCGCAAGTCACGTTTTTTATTTATCGCCAATTGTGATTTATTTTCGGTTTTTTTCGTCGGTTTATTGATAATTCGTTGATCGGTTGACTCCTTTTTAATGACATCAACAACGGCACTTTTTTCATCGGTCGATTCAAATTTGAATTTGCTGCCATTCCATAAATTGATTTCCGTTTCACATTCATCGGCCGATGATGATTCGGGTATGTGACAATTTGCATCTTCAATTTCGAACAGAACATTCTCATAGGTTGGCGATGAAAATTCACGTTCGTCCACCAGTTCTTCAGTGGTTGACATTCCATCTTGTGATGTGGATGACATTGATTTTTTATTCATAATGTCATGATCAAATTTATCACCATCAGATGCCTTTGTTCGTTTCGTATCGGGACTTTTCTTCTCCGAACCGCTGTCATGTCGCTGACGCTTTGTATTTGATCTGATTGTTTCCTTAACGTTTGTTATGTGCTCGACACAAAGACTTTCACCCCGAACGGATGCATTGATCCGTTCCTCATAGGAATTCAAACAAATACTATAGCTATTTAAAAAATCGGTTAAATTAACGTACGGACGATGAATGGTGGCATCGAGTGAAGGTGCAATGCACAACACTGGTTCCGTAAATGGTGAAAAATGTGACTGTAAATTTGATTGCGACGCATCGCCATTTGTACTAGTTTCTAAAGCGTTTAAAGATGATGATTGCGGTGTGGGTGTTACAGTTGATGCGGCTGAAGAGCTTGGCGCTTGTGATGCGGTCTGTGTACTCAGCTTCGGAGCTGAATTGCTTATTGTTTGGCCCCACTATTTCATATATGAAGTAGAGATAAAATTGAGTGTGAAAAATTCAAATTATTTTTAATGAGTATTCTCTTCAAAGAAATTACCAGTTTTGCCTCTCGACTCTTCCACTTTTGTTGTAATGTTTTAATCAGGCTTATTAATCTCTTTTGCAATGGTAACGACGTTTTCACACGTGGATTCTGCGCTAAACTCTGTACCGTATACCATGATTCATGATCGGATGGCCTCAATTCAACATCTACCTTTGCCGGTAATTTTATGTCCTCTTGCCATTCTGCAATTAACAATGGACAGATATCGATTTAACAAAATGACAAAAATTGATCAAACCACAACTCACTTTCAACTTGATTGATTTTGCGCAGTGCCGGGCACGATGGCGTTTTAATTCGGCAATTTTTCCCCTTGACACGCCAAGTTACCGAGCCACGATATACCAATTCACGCAATTTCATATAAAACTTTTGATTATCAACGGGAATTTTCTTTCTCATTTCACCGTAATTGATAATTGCATACAATTCCTGAACCTTTTTCGTAACATCTGCGAATGAAACATAAAAGCATTACATAACATTATGCGATGGAGAAAATCAATGAGCTCCTCTTACCTTCCGAGAATCGTAAATATTTGGAAATTTTTGTGAACGTTTGATAATAGAGTAATCTAACGTGCTCCTTGGCCTTGTACGTGGGATCGGTGGCATTTTTACGCTTCTGTTTTCCATTTATATAATTCGCAATCGATTCAAAATCTTTGCCATATTCGTTAATAGCATCAAAAAATAAATTGCGTTCAACATTGCTCCAAATCGTTTTTGAAGGTCGATGTTGATTCGGTGTTTTCTGTGCATTGCGGTGATGTTCTTCTTTCTCTTTGTCAGGCGGAGGCGTCGTGGGTCGAATTGAATCCATTTTCATTTTCTGAATAACTCGGGCACTAGTTCGTACCGCCGGACTACTCATCGATGTCAATGAACCAAGCAATTGCTCCTCCGACGTCTAAAATGTACACAATTTTACAAATCATTCGGCACTGGTTTTTTTTTTTTTTCATTCATTAAAACATTTGTCATTTACCTCCAGTTTAAGTTTATCGTCAATGGGTTTGGGCTTTGGTGCCGTGTCATTTTTCGTTTCGTTTCTTTCATTCGAATTTGATATGTCAGTATCAGAAGACACAATTGGTTTTTTTATATTATCTTTTGCTTCAATCGTGAGCGCGTCGTCTTTTTGCGACACCTCAGCGAAAACAGATAAATCTGCATTGGATGCATTATCGTTTGTCGTCACTTTGCCTGGTGTCATCTTACTGCATTGTAGGTAGAGGAAAAAAAAATAACAGGTTCAAAACAAAATAAAAAAAGTAAACAACTTCTCATTCAACAAAAATTTCATCAAAACGAAACGTCTTTTTTTCGGTTCACATTGCATGCTTTGTTGTTGTTTGATATAATTTGTTGTGTGTTGACAAATTAAAAATCGCACTACTCTTGCATCATCACTTTAAAAAAAGATTCAAAGTGCCGTGAAAAGAGTGCATCTAATTTGAATTACAATTAGCAGCGAAAAAAATATGGCTGCTTGCGAGCCACAAAACAATCACAATTTTATTCCATATCACATCATGTGCACACACATTTCATTTATTACCTTTCGCTTGTTGCGCCATGTGCAATACGAAACGCTTCAAAATGAAATTAATTCGATTTTTATAAAGCGAAAATTTGGAATTTATTTTTTAATTTCGTCTTTTTTTATTTCCATCAAATTAAAACAATAATATTAAATTCACTGTTGCCATTTTCAATGGGACCTGCTTCAATTGCATTGGTTTTTGTATGTAAATCAATCAGGTCAGAAATGTTTGTTTGGCTATTTTTAATCATGTAACACATTGAATTTCTCTATTCTGATTTCATATTTATTGCCGGATTTTCTCAATAAATCACTTTTAACAAAATAAATCGTTCAATTCACTGCCAACAATGTTAAATTGTTTAAAAAATAGCTCGTTCTATTTTCGAAGAACTAAAATGGCGATTGCTTTGTTTTGTGTCATCTACGTTCAATTTGTACAACACCCGAACAAAACTGAGGAAAAAAAGCTGCACTGTTTTTCATTTGGCACTTTCGGAAAATGAGAAATAAAGAGGCGAATGTTTGTTAAATGTTTGGCCGCATTTTGATCGGCTATAATGGGCAAAAAAATTGGTATTTAAACAAAATCACACCACAAAAACAAAAAAAAAATTTAACGACAAAAACACTAAAAGCAAAAAATCTGAAATTCATAAACACACTCAAAATGTATCGTATTCGCGCAAAGACTGTATGTGTCAATAAATAACACCATGTTTGACATATTCAACTGTCGGAGCGAAGCGATACGGTACACACTATGTTGTTTTCTATCGTATCTTGCCTGTGTATGTGTGTAAACATTCATACATACACACGCACATACACATGGACACGGTTGAAAAGTACTTTGGAGCGGTCGTGTACTTTGGATTGTAAACAAGGAATTCCAAATAGATTTAAGAGAAATTGAGATAAGCTGTAATTAAAGTTTTTGCGCGCGAGAGAGTGAGTGAGCACGAAAGAGCGAAAGACTCACACACACTGTTTAAATATCGATTTTCGGAGTTTAAAACTTTTAATTACAATGTTTTTGCATCAGTGAATTTAAATAGACACAGACTTTCGCAACGGAATACATTTTCTAAGAATTTTCAAATTGGGATAGAGTTTCAAACATTAAATTTGAATTTCAATTGAAGATGGGTAGCGGCCAAATTTATTATGCGGTTGAAGACGAAACGACATTTACGATGTCATGAGTTTTCGATGATTTACGGCAAAAATCGTTTCAAATTTGACGATGAGTTTGGATCAAAGACCTCTCAATGACACCAAATATTATCCTGGAATGTGTGTTTGGCGCAAAGAAAAACTTAATCACAAACTCATCCGTTCGACTTTCAAAGTCAGACTATCGGTAGTTTTTGTTTGAGTTGCTAGTCTGCAAAAAAGCAAACAAACTCATATGCATCTGTAAGAGAAGGAAGGGCTGGAAAAAATAATAAATCAAACTGTTTTTAATATTTGCTTGATGTTTATTTATGAAAAAAAAATCACGAGAGTTCGTTTCTCTTTCACAAATGTTACCATGATGCTCGATCATGTTCGAATGAGAATATGCATCTAAATTATTTTCAATAAAATTCGAGGAACCAATGAATATCAGCCCTTATGTTGAGTGTGTGTCTGTATGCATCGTTTTTTTTTAAGTTTTGGTGGTGAATTGTTGTTTCAGAGTATCTTATACCTAAATTGTAAATCGTACAAAGATTGGTACCTCTGAATTTTAGTGTTAATTATACAATTTTTTTCTTCTTTCATTTAAATAACGTTTCATTTGCATTTAGTTTTTGTTAATGTTGTTGCTGTTCATATTATATTCGTACTTACAATGGCGCTAATGTTAAAACCTTAAGTATTACTTGCGTACCGTTTGGAGTCTATTATCTTAGCACGTAATTTTGTCTTTTCTTCGTAAAATTTCTTCATCATTTTTTTTAATTTCTTCAACGTATTTTTTATTTTTGTTTTTATTTCACAGAATAAAGCGACAGCCGAACTGAATTCCTTAGCACTGCTTTGGAGGGGCGCTTCAGCATCAGCAATGTTTGTTTAGTGACTATTATTGCACTTGTAAAGTCTAAGAATGGAACTGTTACTTATGTTTTCTTCTTTTTATTTCTCTTGCACTTTAAAAGCCTAATATAATTAAGATGCTAATATAATACGCTATTGCTTTTAAATCTCTCCATAATAATAATAGTAAATACTAAATAGTAGTCGTTTTTTGTCGTGTTCGAGTTTGTTTAAACATTTCTATTTGGCTGTGGACGTTGAATAATGTGTTTTATTATTCTTCTTCTTCTTTTATCTTAGGTTGTTTTATTGGAAGCGAGCACGCATTTTTATTACCTTTAAATCGAAAAGCTGGCCCGTTGTGTATGTGTGTGTGTGCACACCTTTTCGATTGAACGGGAAGAAAAAAAAAGTCGGCTTGTTCCGTATATCGTTTCTAAGCGTTTGCATAATATTGGATAATCTGATATATTACATTCAATCAATGACCAAAAAGCCCCCCGAATCTGTTGAATGGATAATCAACGGGAATGAGAGAAAATTGTTACGGTTCATTGAATCATTCATGGCATTGTCTTCAACGTTAATCAAATCATTTTGAATGAGCATATATCGATGGTGATTACACGCCACTCCTTTTTCATTTTCCGAGCCAACCGTTTCGGAGGTTTTTGGCCATCGTATATTTGATTGAATTGTCTACTTTGTAAATATATGATGTGTGTGTTCGAAAAATACTGTGTATTGTATGTGATTTGATGGAAATATGAGAGGAAAAAATTGTTATGCATCGTTTATGGTTTAAAATCGATATTAGCTGGAGAATGGACTAATATGCGTTGTTGTTGTTTTTTTTTTATTTGGGGATAAATTTTTTTGTTTCTAGTATTGCTTGTGTATAACACAATAGCCGGACGTTGTCTTTTCAACTGATGGATCCTTGCTTTACATTTTACATGAATTTATTTATTATCAACGATTTTTCGTCGTTTCCTTTCTTTTTTTTCATCGTCTACTATTTGGAACTCTTCACACGTTTTGGACTCGTTAAAATAGCATTTGCTTGGATGTCATTTTTTCTCGTTAAAAAATAATCAAAATCTTTCTAAAAATCTATCCATTTCACAATCATCTTTTAGGTTTTTTGTTCTTCTAAGTTTTTTCCAAAATAATTCATAAAAGAAGCGATAGTACGAAAGCGCTTATTTACAGAATACAAAAAATAGACACAGACATAGACTTAAAATAACTGAGTTTTTTCTTTCACAATGTTTTTCATCATCATCATCATGATGCATCTTGTTTAAATCGGTGTATTTTTGAGCAGTCCTCACCTAATGCTTACAATTCCATTTGGTTTACATATTACTACCTTGGCCATAATAATTTAATGTTTCAGTCGTTCGACGCGAAAGTGTTGCTTTTCGATTCGTTGTCAGCGAACCACTCCGATGTGGATGAACTTGAACATTGTGAGCATTTAATGGTGCCATGTTGGGATGTTCAATACGCGTTGGTGACGATACCATTAAACGTGAATTATGCGCCCGATGTAATGTGCTTATCACTTCATGCGGCTCTTGATAGCCCGAATCATTTTCATCGTGATACATTTCTGCATTTGTCGTATGCATATCTTCGTAATCAAAATCACTATAGCCATTATTTTCAAAGGCCTGCAAATTTAAAAGAACAAGGAAATTAGCTTTATTTTTTTATTTCACTCTCTCTCTCTCTCTCTCTCTCACTTGAAACAAATAAGAGGCTATTACGAAGAGAGATAACATTTAATTAAGGAAGTACATTATTAAAATGGAATTTCACTCAACAGTCTCTGTGATGTAATAAAAAATAATGTAAATAATGAATGTGAATGTTAAACGAATAAACTTAAAGTGCTCAATTTTTTTCTCACCTTAATTGGAACTTTACGTGGTGTTCCCTCACGTGTTCTCACAACCGGTCTGTTATGGTAGTCGATGATTTCGTAATGATCATCGTAGTTGGGATATCGTTCGACGCCCCTCGCAGTCACAAAATGTCTTGTTCCATGTGGTGTCAGTGTGGCCCATAATAGTCGACCCTCTTTGTTGATGTCTTGCTGTAAATTTTGTTCGTTGGACGGACACGGATACAGCATATTGCCCGACATATACGATTGTGACTTATCCATTGAAACATGCGGTTCGTGGCACATACTCTTCGGTGGTAAATGTTTTCGTCTTTTATTCCTACAATATGTCCAGTTTTGTGTTTTGTTTTTGGATGATAAAAAGACAAAATATAACCGAAGTTAATAAAAACCAAAGTAATCAACAAAGTATCGTAAACGAGAAAATTTCCGTCAAACTTCAAAAATATATTAAAACAGAGGAATAAAAAAAGAAGAAACATACTCTCGGCATTTGATGAATGTGAATATGACTACGGTAATGAGCAAAATGACACCAACTATTGATGCGATTATAACATAAAACCATGCATCATTTAGACTATGTCCGGGTAATTCGATAAATTCAATTCCAGATTGTATTCGAGGTCCCGGCAATGATTCGCACACATACGCTGCATAACACAATTTCGAATCATTTTGAGCGAATGGAATTAACGGATGGTTCGGTACTAAAAATGATGGCAACGGTGGCGGTGGCATCGTCTACGATAATAATGATGATAATAATAAAAAAACAAAGTTTTAATTAAGTCTTCTCCGTGTACGAGCCAAACGAACGAACGAAATGAGCAAAGTAAAACAATGCCAATTTTTATTGGTGTTTTATAAAATGTTTACCAGAATTGTGTCTGGCGGTGGGCCGATCTCGATGCACTGAACACACATGTTGGATCCCGTTTTTGAAATCTCACTCACAATCCTGTGTGTTTGCCAACACACACACTGCAATAACCACAATCAAGTTAATTGAATTTAGACTAAAACCTCGGTAGAAATTTTTGTGTGCACAAGTTTTCTCTTTTAACTCTTCCATTCCATTTTAATTTTAAAAATAAATCCAGAGAAATTGCAATTAAATTAAATGGAATGTTTGAATCAACAACAACAACAAAAAAAAAATAAAACACACGAACAGAGAGTTGCAGAGAGAATGAAGCGAGTTATTGATTTTTCATTAAAATGACCTGTTTCCACTGAATGAGTTTACGCTTGCTTTGTACAAATTGCACTTGTTTTCCCGTTGGATTTTCAATTTTTCAATTTAATCTCGACTATTGCCATCACTCTCACTGTATATATGTATGTTTCCACCTTTTCTTAATCACTAAAATTGAGTCTTTTGATCACAGAAATTCATGTTGATTTTTATTCATTTTTCCATTTTATTCTCGGTAATCTGCACTGCCTTCTTTTTCGAACCAATTAATTGTCAAGGAAACAAAATCGAATCTTATGTTTGTTATTTTTCTTTTATTTTGTGTGTGAACTGAAGAAGTGATAAGTAAAAACACAACACTAGCAGTAAATGAAGAGAATCACAATATAGACAAAAGGATTTCGATAGAAAAGGAAAATCTCTTGGTATTTTACGGTGTTGATGGTGGTGCGTGCGTACGTTCGACTACTGATTCACCGTGTTTGATGTTTGTTGTGTGGAAAAATAGCCAAATAGGGGGCCACTTCCATCCAATAGCCAATACACTTACGATATATGAAGCATGCGCGTAATCATCAATTTATCAAATATACACACGCACACACCCTCAGCGTCTCATATCAACTTATTATCAAGCTAAAATACAAAACGACAACACACGTACACTTGAAACGATATTACAACCCCCCCAAGAAACATGTTCTCGTTTGCTGGTGTATCGCGGTCGGTGGTACTCTCTCGTGTACAAACGGTATGCTATGGTATGCGTAAACAAGCACACTCACCAGAGAGATTCCGTGTATATGAATTTATTAGGGGTAATTTTATCGATTGTTTTTTTCGCATATAGTTCTCTCGATATGCGGTGTATTTGTAAGGAGACTCGATGGCGGTGTATGTATTCAATATTGCATGCCGTTGTATGGCACCATCGTTACCATCCTATACATTTATTTATGGTATTGCTGAATTGGTGCTATGTTTACAAACTCATTCATCGTCTGGAATAAATCACATTTCCTTTTTTCTCTTTTTCTCTCTCTCTCTCTCTTACATACGTATTGCATTTATAACTGCGAAGTCTTAAATCAAATCAAATTAAATTTGTTGTATATGAATAATGAATGATTTCTGGGAAATCTAAAACTCTTACAATTTTATTTTTGTATCCCACCTCTTCCGGTTGAGAGAAACCTGGCGACGACGTAGCAGATTTTTCGCTTTCATATTTCATTTAAAATGTATAACATGTTGTTGTCATCAAAGCTGTTCTTTTGAAATGTTGTTTTTGATCTTTGCCATAAACGTTTGGCGGCTTTTTTTTAAAAAAGTAGATTAAATTTGCCATTTGACTTGGATCATCACAAAATTCTCGAATTTTTTTTCATCTGATATTCAGATTCAGAATTTCGTTTAAGCATAGATGAGTCTGCTGTCTGCATGAATAAAGCTCATTCATAAAATAGCATTTTTTGTCGTTATTCATTCATAAAGACGACTTGTTGCTGTTCTTTAAAGAAAGTTTTTTTTTTTTTGGTAAAAAATTCATACGATGGTTGATATAATATAAATTTGATGTCATGCTGTTTATAACAAAGAAACCCTCATGTTGAACCCACAAAATTCGGTTTAAGGCATTCGGCACGATGGAAAAAACCGAAAATCATGCGTTAAGACACTTACGAAACTTAATCCACTTTGAGAAGATTTCAGTGATTCTGCAATGAATAAAACAGTAGAGAGGTAAAAACAACAGCACGTTTCGCCGAAACTTAATGATTAAGCGTATACGCTCTAATAATTTAACCTGTTTGATTTTTTTCTTACTAATTCGAAGTAATTTTCGCGGTTGTGTGCAGAGTAGCGTGTGTGAGAGAGGGGGGAGTGGTTGAAAATACCCTCTAACGGCATGAATGCTAAAATCATGGAAAAACAAAGTAAACAAAACCATCAACAGCAGAGGTGAGAGCGTTTTGAGCATAAATAATGATCAATTGGAATGAGAGTGGTAGTGCAAAATGGTTTGTGTATTGTGCACGGCACGGCAGTGGAACGAAATTTCACAGAATTTTGTCAATGTAGTATAAAATATTCACACGCAGCTGCGCGCATTAATGCCAATAATACAAGAAAACACAAAAATCCATTCAATTGTTGTGCTCTCGTTTCATGTCATTTTCTCTCCCATTCCCATGGAACACGAACGCCGACGACCACCGCACTATACATATGTCTGTCCATACATACAGTATGCTATATATGACAAAGTGCATGAAAAATTTCTCTCGCTACACATGGCGTAGTAAATATACATGTAAGTGTTAGAGAGTGAATGAGAATGAGAGAGAAAACAAGAGTCCTTTACTTGGATGGCCCTTTACTTTCTCCATTTATTGTTTATGTATTACGGAATCAGAGAATGAAAAGCAGCGAAAAAAAGCGAATCGTAGAAGTGGCAGAAATTATCAGAGCTCTGCTTCACCGACCAATACGCCAATTTTAATCGCTTGCCATAATTCGGCGAGTGCAAACCAACATTTCAATACCCCATATCCAATGTTTATCGCACCGTGAATTGATTTAAGCATTATTTTTCGTTGTTCGGTTTTGCATGTGACGAAGTTCATATAATTCTCATTGTTGAAATACAATATTTTGTGTATGCGTGTGTGCATTTCGGGTGGCTGTGTTTTCGTTCGGCTTGAAACAGATTTATTTGCATTTTCATCAACAGCACAACCTTCTTTTTTCGAGTTGACATTAGTATACATAAAGCGAGCGTGTGTGTGTGCTTGTGCTAAGTGACAAAATTCGTGTTTTTTGCGTCGAAAGTTTTCTTTAATGCGCCCATAAAAAGCAATGGGGTGTTCCCACCATTGCTCCAAATGTTAAACAACTCATTATTTAATAGAATAAACAAAAAGTGAACAACAGAATCGCGACATATTTCGGTGTGTATAAATTACGAGCGAGAGAAACCTGAAGGGATACAACGAACTGCTAAAAGGTAATTATACATTAACTGAAAAGAACGGAGAACCAGCTCAGGTGTCTATAAATTGTAGCTTGAGAATGGTTAACATGACACCGAACATAAATTGTATACGATGACAACAACGATATGGATGGGAAGGTGCTGCACCAACGAAACTGACCCAAAGCAACGACACGATGCGCTGCAAGCGAATATGTGTGCATGAAGTGGACAATTTAGAACGATGACGCAATTTCGAAATACAAAAAGAAAAACATATAGAGATATAAGCATTGTCGTTTCGGTATCGAATGTGTGTCTCCAGTGACATTACGTTCTGCATGTGTGAAATGTGGTGTACGTGCATGTTATTGGCTCCAAAATAGAAATGGCAATGGATTTACAGATTTTCACAAGAGTAAATCCTTACACGTTCCAAAAGCGATTTATAAAATGAAAATTGCAAGCGTATATATATTTTGTAGCATGCCATTACATGACATGGGTATATCATGGATAATGGCACCGAGAGGCAAAGAGATAGAGAGAAGAAAACAACGAACTCTCATGTATATTTGAAACATTTCAATCAAATATCCGTAAATGTCAAATGAGTTTTTCATGTTCTCTATCGAAATTCCCATTTCAAGATAGATAATTTATTCATTAGTAGGTAAATGACTCGGAGTGAGCAATTTTGCATTTTAAATTTCTTAAAAGTGATCCTCAATTCACCGAAATGACGGCTAATTCGACTGTAGAGATTCTTTTCAATTTATTTCTTGACATTTGAAGTGTACGCAACACGCACACCTATTTACCTTATTACTTAGAAGAAAAAAAGGGAATCATTTAGAAAATGGCATGCTGTGAGCGTTTTTTTTTTTTGTTTCGGATTTGAAAATGCAAATATAAATCATCTATTTTTAGTCCTTCATTTAATTTGGTTGTTTTACCATGCACAGGGCACACTCACGATAAATTAATCCTTCAAACAAAGCATGCTTCAATAACAATGCTTAATTTCAGTGTCGACGTCAGCTCTTTGCAAAGCCCATTACATGTTGTACAAAGGCTACACATAAAGCTTAAAAACACCAATCAAAATGTGTGAACCAAATTGAATAAACAACGGCTTCATCGTATGTGAGTGTACGTTGTTCATTTTTTATTTCATTTGATCGTCGTATGCCGCATCGATGTAATAGCATTAATAAGTTTGTGGGCGCCAAATAAAATGCCATTATTCTGTTCGAATTCACATGCAGCAAGAAGAAGAACGGGATTCATTGTGACGGTATATATTCAATTGTTGTGATAGCACACCCACGTAAACCGTTTTATGTGTTATGTGCAATGACAATTGTGAGGGTACGTGATTCCGTGATTTTTCTACCAATTTCAATGTTCGCTTCATAAAATTTCGGAGAAATTGCCAGATGTCTGTGTTCCATGCACATTATTCCTTGTCAACAATCAAATACAATGTATGTCGACTTTTTCAGTCGTATGTCGAGGCTTTAATTTGCCACTGAAACACTTGCTTACGTCATGTTTCATGCTCAAACATTAAGAAGGCACGCACCTTTCTCTATTTCACTCACATCAAACTGTGTCAATTGTTGAATACAAAAAAAAATGAAAATAAAAAAAAATAAAAAAATGAACATTAACAACGAGCTTGAACTTTATTTTTTTGTTTGACACCAGATATATTATTCTTGGGCTATGACGCTTATTCAACCTTATATTTTTCTTTTCCATTTGGTGTATATATGTTTTGTTATTTATGACATGCATAATTTATGTTAGCAATCATTGGATATCGTTTCCCTAATTGGCTTCTATAAAATTATTGTAGCTGTGACATTCAAGTCCTTTTTATTTGACTCCGAATAAACAAACGCCATATACGAAAAAAGGGGGAGAGAAAATTGTACATCATCACTTTGTAGGTATCGTTTGTTATGAGCATTTTCCGCCGTTGACCTTTTTTCGAATTCTGACTTTTTGTTTGCTATCCGATCATCGTATCTCTACGAACTTTTCACTCCGATTAATACATTAAACTCGACAGATTAAATTCGATCGCCATTTGAATTAACCGCTGGCACAAACATTCCGGGTCATCATGTCGAATTTGTATCTATTTACGTATGCAGATGAATTATCACAGCAATTTCCATAATTTCAACTAAATTGAATGTTAATCATTGCAGAACACCAACGCGAAATTCAATTAGAACCAAGCAACGAGAAGCAAAACAAAAGACAAATTAAAAATGCTATTGGGCGCGTGGCCTATAGGCGGTGTTAAGCACAGCAGCATACAGAATCCGCATGAGAAAAGTGGAAAATGCCGTTTTATCATTCTGTGCTCGAGTTATGCATTGTTTCTAGTCATTGGAGCAGCTATAATCTCTGTGATTGAAGCACCGCAGCTTGACAAATATCAACGTGAACTAATTGAAACGAAGGACAAATTTGCAC